GATTTTATAAATATCCTCTCTCATCTCTCCTCTTTCCTATCTCTGGCGAATCTTATTCGGTGAACCATATTCTGATGAACCTTATTTGAACACAAGATACATACTGTGATACCTACAAACGATATTTACTGTGATACCCAGATATGCATACAAGATGCACAATGTGATATCCTTTGTAAAACAATGAAAATAATGAAAATGTACACCATGATACATTTCATAAAACAGATAAAATCAATACATTGTCATACACGTGAAACATTGTGAACGTTATTACTATGATACATTTTGATTCATAAACTCTTTAAAATACGATGTATATTAGGTAATTGATGTACTAGGTAAATAATTTTAATTAAATAGTTCATTCTAAAAAAAATTAATTAAATATTTTGATTAGTTGTTAAAAATTGAATTACTATATTACCCTCTTAGCTTATTTAAGAAATATTCTTAAATATCTCAAACGAGTAGTTCACATTGGATCTCACGATTACCACAAATTAATCAGTTCTTTCTTGAATGGGTCCCTATATGTACATATATATGAGCGATCAAATGCAAACCATCCATATTTGTACAAACCGTGTGAACCACCCTTATTCGTTGATTTTATTGTTAAATCTTATAAATTTTTTTCATGAAATTGTTTCTTTTAATACTTTTTTTGATGAAGTTTCATATATTATTATGAAATTGTTTCATATAATACTTATGAAATTTTAATGAAATTAATATAATGAAGATGATAATATCCATGATTAATACACTCCACAATAAAAATGATTAATCAACCTCTTATAATTACAAAAAAAAAATGAAAATTATGATTAGTTGAATGAGGTTTGTACGATTTGTACAAATAACATTGTGTGTAAAGTATATCTCATATATATATATATATATATATATATATAGAGAGAGAGAGAGAGAGAGAGAGAGAGAGAGGTGGATTATTATACAATCCCTTATATTTGTATAACCAATACAGCTTAATCTTAATCGTCCATTTAATTTGATTAATATGTAATTTCATAGAAGTTTTAATTGTTTCCTAATATAAGATATTAATCATAATTAATGAACCTTATTCATCTTCCATAAATATTTAAATCATAATAAATGAACTCTCATCATTTCCATAAATACTCAGTTTATTGAGTTGTATTGGTTGTACAAATGTGATGGGTTGCGTTTGGAACAAATTATCTCTCTCTCTCTCTCTCTCTCTCTTGAATGGACCCCTATATAGGGGCTTAATCAAACGAGAAATGATTAGTTTGTGGTAACTGTGAGATCCAATCTCAACCACAAATCAACTGATAAATTAAGAAATTAATAATTACGGTAGTTTGAGTTAAAATTATAATTAGAGGGCATTTTAGGTATTTTTAAAAAAACTCCTCTCTCCTCTCTCATCTCTTATCTCTCATCTCTCCGACCTCCAATCTCCCGGCCTCTGGTGAACAAAAATCCGGCAGGTACCAAGTAATCACAAAGATACACAATGTGATACCCATTGTGATATACAGTTGTACTCAAATTGTATCACAATGGGTATCACAGTATATCACAATAGGTATCACATTGTGTATCTTTGTGATTACTTGGTACCTGCCTGATTTTTGTTCACCGGAGGCCGGAGATTGGAGGTCGGAGAGATGAGAGATGAGAGAGGAGAGAGGAGTTTTTTAAAAATACCTAAATTGCCCTCTAATTATAATTTTAACTCAAACTACCATAATTATTAATTTCCTAATTTATCCATTGATTTGTGGTTGAGATTGGATCTCACAGTTACCACAAACTAATCAGTTCTCTCTTGAATGGACCCCTATATATATATATATATATATATATAGGGTATATTTCAAATACAACCATGTCCATTTGTACAACCCAATTAATTGAGATATTTTTAAAAATGATGAGAGTTTATTTATTATGATTTGAGTCTTTGTGGAAGATGAATATAGTTCATTAATTATGATCAATACTTTATATTAGAAAAAAATCAAAACTTTTATGAAATCACATATTCATCAAATTAAATGGACGGCTGTGATTAGGTTGTATTGGTTGTACAAATGTAAAATGTTGTATAATATATATATATATATATATATGGGCTGATTCAAATGTTAACTAAGTTTATTGTGTTAACTTTGTTAAGCAATCTTGGCCATTGATGTTTGAACTTTGTGGCTAAGATCCTTCATGACATAAAATGTAATTAATTGCATACATAGACAAGGTAACATAAGTGGACAATATTTACAAGGGGTATTTTGGGAAAAGATTTTAGT